CTTTTCCTGGCTACCTGTTAGGACTCTCTTTTAGAACCATCTCTTGGCACTTTGAAGTAAAAGCCAAAGGCTCAGTTTCATGAGCCAGTGTGAATTGTTTTTCTGGGTTTTTATTATTTTATGACAACATTATTTGTTTTTCCTCTATCTTGATTTTTGAGCTTCTGTCAGTTTCATTATTATGAGGAAAAAAAAATTACCTGGAAACATGTGATGACGAGTGAAGAAAAATGTGAAAGTTTGTTCCTGAATTGCAGTTTGATTTTTTAGGCTAGTCTTTATCTTGGTGAAAGTGAAATCATGTCTTGGAAGCACTCAGTTTCACTAAGGCTAGAAACTGATCTATTATTCTGACTTTTCAACCTCGTCATCAAAGTATATCCATTATTTTCCAGAAAATTTCCTGAACCCATCTATTGCCTTCCTTTCTTTATCCATTACCACTACTTTACTCGTTCTCATCTTCCCTCACCTGGATATAACATTGCCTACAGTATTCTTCCAGTTAGTTTTCCATTGTCGGTTCCACGCCTTTTTAATCATTTCCCCACACTGCTTTGTTTCTCAAGTGTAAACTTGATTATGTCAGTTCTTGCTTCAGATCTTTTCGTGGTTTATCACTGCCTACAGAGCATGGAATATAAGGCTTCTCATGATCTGCCTTTTTGTGTTGTATCTAACAGTCTCCCTGCCCCCAGCCAAATCTGTCCATAACTAGTTCAAATATGTATTAAGTAACTGTGATGTTTATTATCATCTCCTCTAATGCAGACATAAGTAAGCCTCTCTGAGTATAGATGAGTAGAGGAGAAATGCCATTCCTAATTCTGATGCTTAACATATTCATTTCTGTCATATTCATCCCCACCCCCATGGCCTCCATACTTGCCCATAATGGGCTGGTGGCCTTCTTTCTATTAATTATATATATGTCTTTTTTTATAGTTTATTTTTTTATTTTTGAGACAGGGTCTCACTCTCTCATCCAGGCTGGATGAGATCAGAAATCACTGCAACCTCAAACTCCTAGGCTTAAGCAATTCTCCCACCTCAGCCTCCTGAGTAGCTGAGCCACAGATGCGTGCCACCACTCCCAGCTAATTTTTTTTGTTTGTTTTGTATTTTTTGTGGAGGTGATGTCTTGCTATGTTGCAAAGGCTGATCTCTAACTCCTGGGCTCAAGCAGTCCTCCTGCCTTGGCTTCCCAAAGTGCTGGGAATAGAGAGGTATGAGCCACTAGGCCCAGTCATAAATATTTTTAGAAGTTTGATGTCTACACACTTTAAGTTTACTTATATTCTCTCTGTAGGCGTTTATACCAATAAAGCCTTTGCATTCATCATTGCTACCATTCTCTTGCTTTTTTACTTTTTTCCTTGAAACTTAGCTCTTTTGTATATTCTAGGGCGGTGTAGAAGAACAAGCATTTTATACTGTCATTCAGGCAAATGTTTATGTCCTGTTTCTGTGTCTTCTCTTTGTACTTAATATAGTATGCATTAATCTGGGCTGAGAACAACTTCCTTGTGGCATAGTAATTATTTGGCTTCATTTACTCAATAACTGTAATTCTGTTTGTACATCATTTTACCATTTATAAAGGCCTTTCATATTTGTCTATTTGATCTGAACAATCCTATTAGATCATTGTAGTCACCACCTTTAGCTGATAAACTAAGAGGCTGAGGTTTATAAGGGTCAATGGCATGGCCTAGTACTTCCCATCTGGGTGATGGCTCCTCTACAGGATCATGCTGCCTTCCTTGCAATCCTGTTATTTCTGTACTTAACTGGTCAAGACTGCAATTGCTCTGTGTATTGGAGTATGCTTTACTGATTTAATTACCACTTTGGATACATTTTTTCATTTGATTTTCCCAGCATTTCTGTTAATTAGGCAGGGCTGAAATTATTAGTGCCATTTTACAAATTAGGATGCTGCAAATCAAAATGGTTAAGTGACTTGTTCCAGTTTGCAGAAGTGGTATTTAAAAAATGGAAACCAAGAATGGGTCTTCATACCCCTAGCCTTCTGCTGTTCCCAATGCCCCATGCTGCCTCTTCGCTCTACTGTAAGACATGTTGGAAAATGAAATAACATTTTTATTCCTAAGATTCCACTGAAACAACTCTATGGTTATGCTGTGTACTCAAGTCTAAAACATGAAAGTTAAAGGGCAGCTATCAGTTTAACTTTGCATAGGTTTTATATGCCATAGTGCTACTGCAGTTAATGGAATGCATAGAATTCAATAACACATTGTCAGAAATGTGTTACTCAAGGGAAAGATAATACAAGGCAAGGGAAAATAATACAAGAGGAGACGTGTTTTAGAATCTGGTCTTGTAGGGGAAGAAGAATAATTTTTTCTTCAACCCCTATAGGTTGGAATGGACCCATGTGACAAAAGACAGATTAATAGGAGAAAAACAAAGTTTATTAACATTTTGTATCAGTTTTCTCTGCTTATAACAGAATATCTGAAATTGGGTAATTTATAAAAGAAAGAAATTTATTTCTTGCAGTTATGGAGGATGGGAAGTCCAAGGTCGAGAGGGTGCGTCTGGTGAGAGCTTTCTTGCTGGTAGGGCTTCTGAAGAGCCTTGAGGTGGTGTAGGGTATCACATGGTGAGGAGGCTAAGTGTATTAACATGCCAGCTTAAAAAAGTCTCTCTACCTCATTTTGTAAAGCCACAAGTTTCCCTCCCATGGCACCCCATTAATCTATTAATCCTTTATTCATTACTCCATTATGGATTAATCCATTCATGAAGGCAGAGTCCTCATGATCCAATCACTTCTTAAAGACTCCACCTCTCAGCACTGCCACATTGGGTATTAAATTTCAACATGAGTTTTGGAAGGGACAAATATTCAAACCACAGGTCACATAGCAAAGGAAAAGGACTTTGAGTCTCCGGTGGCAGCAACTTGTGAGAAGGCAAATAAATAGCAGATAAAGACCAGCTAATAAAGCTTGTTCATATAGATTTCTCTGGTATCATCTCCACATAATAAGAATCTGAAATTACCTTCACTGATTAACCTTGGTTCTCATTGGTAGAAGGTTGGCAGGATGCCTTTTGTCTTTGTAAATCTGTTTTGCTTTTAGAAATATGGAGGGCAGAGAGCTTTCCTGAATCTGCTTCTTTTTAAATTGCCTTTGCTCAATAATCCTTCATATTTTGGGGGTGGCATCTTCTGGTCTCCATCAGTATCATTCTACTCATTCTGCTCTCAGAGTAATTCTCAGGTCCCTCTTAGCCTGTGGAAGGAGGACTTGCAGGGAGGGAAAATCTGTACCTTCCCCCCCCCCCCGCAGGGTCTCATTGTGTCACCCATGGTGAGGCACAATCTCGGCTCACTGTATCCTACACCTTCAGGGCTCAACCATCCTACTACTTCGGCCTCCCGAATAGCTGGGACTATAAGCACATACCACCATGCCTGGCCAATTTTTATATTTTTTGTAGAGACAAGGTTTGCCGTGTTGCTTAGGCTACCCTCAAACTCCTGGGCTCAAGTCATCTGCCTGCCTCAGCCTCCCAAAGTGCTGGTATTACACATGTGAGCCAGCTATACTGTGGTTTTGCTTCATAATCCATACCCATTGTTTAATCAGTAAAATTGATTATGGAAACAGCTTGTCTACAGAACATCTTGAGCATATATGTGGTTCAGCAGGAAGAATCTGTAACTGAGCAGATAGAAAGTAGTGTCTGGATTATTTTTTTTTTTTTTTTTTTTTTTTGACAGAGTCTCGCTCTGTAGCCCAGGCTCGGGTATCCAGACATGATGATGGCTCATTGCAGCCTTGATCTTCCTGGCTCAAGCAGTCCTCTCACCTCAGCCTCCAGAGTAGCTAGGACGACAGGCATGCCACCATGCCCAGATTTTTTTTTTTTAGTTTTATTATTTGTAGAGACAGAGTCTTACTCTGCTGCTCAGGTGGAATTCTTTATGATCATAATAACATTTTACTCCAGGATTTCTCTTTAACTGTGATTTGTAGAAGCCTTGGTTTGATTGTGGGTTTCTATGTGACCTAGCAGCTGTTTTTTGCTGTGTCACACCCTCATGCACCTGAGTCTATGTTCTTAGAGTTGGGCATGGGTTGTGTTGTGTCAAGGAGGTGAAACATTACAGAGGTGGGTGGCTTTAGGTACTGTATACCAAGTTATGTTTCCTAATTTGAAGATAATCCTGTGGGAAATTTATTATAGGGAAGAGGATGATATGGTACAGTGAGGAAACAGGGAATTAGGAATCAAAAGGTTTGAGTTCCCACTGCACTGCTGACTTGCTTTCTGATCCTAACAAATTTCTAACTCCTCCAAGCCTCCATTTTCGCATTCATCAAATGTTACATAGAAACACTCTCTCAGGGCAGTGTGAGGATCTAATTAGAGGCTATGGAAGATTCTTTGCACACTGTAAAGTGCTACTAAGATATTATTTATTTTAATAAACACTGATTACTTTATGTGAGGCTCTTTAACAAAAATTATTACAATTCAGACCTCCTGTCAATACTGCAAAGCAGGCATTATTACCTCCATTAGGCAGTAAGGAACCTGGCATACAGAAAATACATAATTAAGTAACTTGCTCACCAACTACTTTTAAGTGATGGTTCCCAATTTAAGTGCCAGCTGCTTTTTTGCTGTGTTGTCATGCTAGTAATAAAGGATAAATGGTAGAGGTTTGAACTTTAACAACAACTTGGATTATGCTTCTGAGGAATCGAAGTGGTGCTCTAGACCAGGAGTCAGGATGTTCAGACTGTCACTATACTTTTGTATTATTTTGGGGTAAGTTATTTAAAGTAATTTTATTAAATACATTTAAAACATTGGCTATGTTTCTGCTAAGGTTTATAAGTAAAATACCTTCTTATTCTTATTTTAATCATTTTCAGAATTAAAAAAAAAATTCCTTTGAAGGGATAAAAAGTATTTTATGACTCTGTCTTAACATTTGTTCTTTTTTTTTTTTAAAGTCATTCCTACACTGGCCAAGATTACAGTACCCAGGGAAATGCTGGGAAGATTTCTTTAGATCAGATTGATTCGGTAAGTAACACATTCTTTTAAACTTAGAACTTTGTCAATGGAGGGAACATAGATTTTCTGAAATGGAAGACTTTTGGGTGAGGAGATGGAGAGAATGGTATTTCACTGCTGGCTGATTAATTTTAAAGAAAATCCCATGTCCTATACATATGATTTAAAAAAACATGATAGGAAAATCATTTAACCAGAAAATTATCTGTACTTTTATAAAAACAGAATTTAATCAATTATTCCAAAAACGAATTTTAAAAAATAGCTAAATGGAGTTTGTGTTTACATTTAAATACTTTATACATTTAATAAAGGAGAAATGGAAAACACGCAGTGTATTAGTTTGTTAGGGCTGTCATGATAACAGAAATTTATTTTCTCAAGAGGCTCGAAATCCAAGATCAAGGTGACAGTAGGTTTGATTTCTTCCAGGGCCTTTCTTGATTCTCACATGGCTGCCTTCTTGCTGTGTTCTCCTGTGGTTTTCCCACTGTTTGCATGCGTCCGTGGTGTCTCTTCTTCTTGTATGGACACTGGGCACCTGGGACCAGGCCCTACTCCCATGGCTTCCTTTAATCTTAGTGACTTCTTTAAAGGCCCCATCTCTAAATATAGTCACATTTGGAGCTACTAGAAGTCAGGACCTTGATATATCAATTTCAGGGGGAGAAGACAATTCATCATCTAATGTAGACTATGACATTAATAGATAACTTATTTTAGCATCATTTCACTTTACGGTTCCATAGTTATGTGGAACTTTGCCATTCTTGTAGAATGTCTCTTGAATACATAACAGAATTTGCACTCCATACACAAAAGGGAAAATAAGCCAGCCATAAGTAATCTTAGGTTAGACAACTACCAAAGTATTCACAATAAATTAAAAATACACATGGATTTTAATGCTTGGAAGCAAGAACTGTAATAAGACTAGTAGAGAGAGACCATGAGTTTGGATCAGAATGAATAGTTCATCTTCCATTTGAAAATGATAAAAAAGTACTTGCAGTTAATATGTCTAGAAATAACAAAAGGGTTGCCTGCTTTACACAGTTTATTTGTTGATTTGAAATTTGTTCTCAAAGATGTCCAATCTTTTAATTTTTTATTAAACACTTATTTCAAACAGTCCCCCTTCTCACTTCCACTCGTTATCTGTGTTTATATAATGTGAGTTGTTGGAGGTTAATTCTATTCCTACTTCTAGCTAGATGTTTCCCCATTCACAAGCAAATGTGAATTTGGTTGGATGCCATGGGCGTTCACAGAAATACTAATTCATTTAATGAATATATATTGAGCCCATCAGTTATGTACTAGCCATTTTGCTGTAGATACAGAAGTGAGGAAAACAGAAAATATTCCTAACTTCATGGACCTTACATGAGGGAGAGGGACAACATAGTCAATAATAAATGAGCAGTATAATGTTAAGTGCTGTGATGATGATCCTTTCCTGGGTCTGTGCCTGAGACCCTGCAGTAAGTAATACAGATGTGTCTTTTTTTGGACTGCCTCCTAACTCTGTATCTAAATTGTTTGATCTTTACAACAGCATGTCATTTGCATGTCCTTTAATATTTGCAACTCTTCTCCAAATGTTTTCTTTAGATTTTTCTTCTAAAAAAATCTGGCTTTCTCAATGCTATTTCCGCTGTGGCCCTTTCAAGTAGAGACACCTTTCTCCGTGAGTTTGTGCATACTTGTGCAGTGAGTACCTTTCTTGATCCACATTTCTCTGCCTTCCATTGTTATAGCTCCAGCTCCTTTGAAACCCTTGTGATCTTATTATATCATCTGTTATCTCCTTTGTTGCTACTCCACCCCTCCCCCACACCTGTATTCATTGATAATTTGAATACCCAGCTAATGGTCTTGTGTACTGGCAGTATTCTTGTTATTGTTCTTGGCCTTTGCAAGATCCAAGTTGATAATTCATCCTCTATCCTGGACTTTTTGCTCATTTGCCATAATCATTTTTCCATCTGTATGTAGCCAGACACTATCTTTATTTAAATTTTTATTATTTGGACTACTGCCCACACCTTTTAAGTATGTCTCCTGCTTCTGTTCTTACTCTTATGTAGTCTTTTCATTATCTAACAGCTAGAGTTCTCTTTGTTCAGTGGATCACATCAGTCTTCTGGTCAGAAACCTCTTGTGGGTTTTCATCATATATAGACTAAAATCCAAACTCATTTTATGGCTTCTGAAGCCATATGTGCTCATCATTTCTATTTTGTCTTCTGTTCCATTCTGGCTCACTCACTTGCTCTGGCCACATGGACCTCGTGCTGTCTTTTAGCATACCACTTTCCTTCTTTCTCAGGATCTTCATTTCACTGGAATCCAACTTAAAATATATGTCTTAGTTGAAATGCCATCTCCTCAAAAAGGCTTCCCTGGCCATCCAAATTGAAGCATCTCTCTCCTAATCACACTTGATTTCATTCCCCTATGTCATTTCCAGTGCTTTGGCATCAGATGTTATCTTTTTAATGTCTGTATTCATTGTTCACCTCCTCCAATTAGAATGTAAGCTCTTTGAGGACAGGGTTATATATACATATATATATATATATATATGTATATATAATAATATATAATTTTATATATAGGTTCTGGGGTACATGTGAAGAACATGCAGGATTGTTGCATAGGTACATATTTGGCAATGTGGTTTGCTGCCTCCATCCCCATCACCCATATCTGGCATTATCCCCATGTTATCCCTGCCCCCCACTGTCCCTCCCCTAGTCCCCTGCCACAGACCTCAGCGTGTGATGCTACCCTCCCTGTGGAGGACAGGGTTTTTTAATTCTTTGTTTACTGCTGGTTCCCCATGGCTGTACACATAGTAAGTGTTCAATACATATTTGTTGATTGAATAAATAAAAATTAAGGAATGTGCCAAAAGAAATTGAAATTGAGTTAGGTCTTGAATGATGACTTGGCTTTGGCTGGATGGCATGTGAGTGGGAAGGGTGCACCAGGTAGGGCTAGCAGAGTGAGAAAGATGAGAAGCTACAGAGCATGACTGCATGGTCATGGGATAGTGAATAACCCAGCGGACTGGAAGTGGGGACTCATTTTGGCTTAGTAATAATACACTGGGCTTTCCCAGTCTTCCTGTCACAGCCCTTCTGTGGTGCTCAAGTTTTGCCCTTGTTGGAGGCCTCATTTTATCGTTTTATTTCCTGTGTTAAGTTACAAACTAGTGAATATAATAATTGTAGTGTCTTTTTCCTTAACTGAATTAAAGGGGAAATTATGTCTTACTTTCTTATTTTCCAGAACACTTAATAAATATTTGTTCAGTTTTGTATAATTGAAAGTAGTTATTGGCCGGGCGCTGTAATCCTAGCACTTTGGGAGGCCGAGGCAGGAGGATCACCTGCAGTCACGAGTTTGAGACCAGCCTGGCCAACATGCTGAAACCCTGTCTCTACTAAAAATACAAAAATTAGCTGGGCATTTTGGCAGGCACCTGTAATCCCAGCTGCTTGAGAGGCCGAGGCAGGAGAATTGCTTGAACCTGAGAGGTAGCGGTTACAGTGAGCAGAGATGACACCGCTGCACTGCAGCCTGGGCAACAGAGTAATATATATTATAATAAATTTTGAGAGTCCATCTCAAAACAAAAGGAGTTAGCTACTGAGGAAACCTTGCATGTTTATACTAAGGATGTTGAACATTGATTGTATGAATTAGAACAATATTTAGGGAAAAAAGTCAGATATTAATATGAAGGAATAAAAATGGTCACAAGAGAATGAGCTGAAAGACATTCTAGTTAGTTCTACCAAGGAAAGATATGGGTCTGAGTGAACTAGACTGGGGCTGGAAAAATTCAGAAGTTGTTACTGTAAAAGAGTGAAAAACTGGATGGTCACTAGAGGGAGCAACAAAGTCAAGCAAAGTGAGACCTGCTCTTTCTTATAGATGAAGTGAACTTGCTAAGGCATATGTGAAGAAGTAAGAATTTAAGTCTTGAGAGGAGGATATTTAAGGAAGTTGTAGAAAATGCAATTGAAACCATAAGTGAAAAATTAAAGTGGGCAGTGATATTTCGTTTTTGACACTAAGGGAAAGACCTACACTTTCTTCCTTTTAACTTGATTTAACACATTTATTTGAATTTTCCTTATGAGAACAATATGTCTTATTTTTGTGTTCTACTTCATATTTGAGTTACCTTAAAAGTTAATCTGCTATTTGGCAATTGTACTTTTATCTCAGGGAAATGAAATCTTAAATTTACGTAAAAACCTCTTAAAGAATGCTCATAATAGCTTCATTTGAAATAGCCCAAACTGGAAACAACCCAAGTGTTCTTCAATGAGTGAATAAATACATTATGATACATTCGTATCATGGAAAACTACTCAGTAATAAAGTAATGAGCTTATATACAACTTAGATGAATCTTGAGGGAATTCTGCTGAGTTAAAAATGACAATCTTGAAACAATACATATTATATAATTCTATTATATAATACTCTTGAAATGACAAAACTATAGTGATGGAGAACAGATCAGTGGTTGCCAAGGATTACAGAACTGGGGGAGGGGTAACAGGATGCAAAGGATAGATGGGGGTGGTTATACAAGGAAAACATGAGGGAACTTCGTGGTGACAGAACTGTTCTGCATCTTGACTGTGGGGGAGGATATATGATCCTACATGTGACAAAATTGCATAAAAGTTAATACAGAAATAAGTGCATGAATACAACTGAGGAAACCTGAATAAGACTAGTGGATTTTATCAATGTCAGTATCCTGTTTGTGATAATCTACTGTAGTTCTACGTGATTTTATCTTTGGGGGGATTTTAGGTATTTGCTATCTCTTTGCATTATTTCTTTTAACTGTATGGGGGTCTATAGGTAACTTCATTATTTAATTAAAAAAAGTTTAATTAAAATATTCAATTTTTTTTTCTTTTTCTTTTTTTGAGATGGTGTTTAGCTTTTGTGGCCCAGGCTGGAGTGCAATG